ATTATGAAGTGCTACAGATATTCAGAGACAATACATTAGACATACGGGTTAAAACTGTTTTAGTTTCACTGCTACTGTAGTAATGAGCTGAAGAACATGGAGCGATTAAAATTAAAAGAAAGAAATACAGAGCCTGTCTTGGAAAACCAAAATAAACATCGTAAAAACAAAACCATTCCCAGAATAGCTGCAAGACTCAGCAGACTCAGCACAGGCTGTGTAAAGTACCTGGACATGGTGACGGGGTTACATTTCCTCCACATCAAACCAAGTAATGCTCCTGATTGTTGCACAATCTCTGAATCCCACCACAATGTCAGCAAGCCAGTCGTCATAAAATACAACACAGCTGAAAAACGAAGCTAGCCAAGGAACCACATCAACTGTCGCAGACAGGAAGTGAACTGCCTGCTAGTAACATACCATAAGACATAAACAATTTGCTTTAACAAGGCAGTTTTAAAGTAAACAGGGCATGTTAACAATTAAGGGCAAAGTTGCAAAACTGCAAACATTGAATCCAGGCTGGCTGAAAAAAAATGAGGGTATGAATTACACTTTGGTGAAACACTCACACAGTTTTGCTGCTGTTGACCTTAAACTGCCACCGTTCAAAACACTTCTTGGCTATAAAATTGTGTTTTTATAGTATCTGCATGTGTGTGTGTTTTTTAGCAACCCCAGGGAAAATACACAGAGGCCACAAATGATGACTTTTTTGGTATTACATAAGTTAGTCATTTACACAGTAAACCTAATCCAAAAAATCCAACCCACTTTAGCTGTGAGGGTCTAGCAACTCCACTCTGATATTATCCAGTTCACTGCTGACGCAGTCGGCCACCTCATATGGTCACATGGTGTGTGCCAACAGACTGAGCTGTGAATGAGGGCGAATTTTGGAATGATGCCACGCAAAAATGTGTATTTTTCAAGGTTTTCGGCCAGACGTCTTTTTGGGAGCACAGTGGTGAAACCAAATGAAATGTGGCATTTGTTAAAATGCACGGAGCCATGTTCATTAAACCTTTGACGCCATGTGAAATCAGAGGCAGATGTTTGGAAATCCTGTCCGGAGCTACAAATAAGCAGAAATAACCGTTAGATCATGTTAAATGAAGAAAAAATGGAGGAAAGGGCATTACATTAAAGAGAGATTTGTGTCAGCTGTTGCTTTGAGGCTGAATAGAACTGCTTTATTCTGCACTAAACAAAATCAGTGAACCCAAAGATATAGCAGAATATCAGGGCATGCAGTGTGCTACAATGTAGCTGGCAGTAGTCAGTAAAGGCAACAAATGTCATAAAATTTGGAACACTGACATTTTTCGTTCTTCTTAAATCAAATTGAGCATAATATTAGTTCAAGAAGGCCAAAGAATTCAAGCTCCGATACAGTCCCGGTAGATCAACTGCCAGCACATATAAGCTAATGGCTAATGGCTCAACTGATACATTTCCACACATTCAACTTGCAAATGTTCCATATAATGTGCCTACAGTTGCTGGCCACCTGCAAGCCACTTTGAAACCCAGCCTCCATCTCCTTTGTGACTAACTTAATATATCTGTTTTAATACTGCACTGGAGTCCTCCCTTTTTTTCATGTATGTACTTGGAAGGTAGGGATGTGTGTCCAAGAAAAGAGCCATACCGCCAAATATAAGTGGCAGTATATTTATTTATTTACTTATTGCTTATTGCTATTCTGTTAAAATATTTACAAGTACGAACTCTTTACACAGCGATGTAAAATATACACATTAAAAACAGAGCACATCCTCTTTCAGTTCTAAGGTTTTACATATCAGGACATAATATAAAAACTGGTTCTGTGCAGGTGCTAAAATGATTTAAATACTGAGATGATCAATAATGAATGGCATACTGTCTTGTGCCATATCATTATTTATTTAACAATAACCAAAACAAATGCAGAAACTGCACCATGTGACTCAATAGCTTGTAGAACCAGCTTTGCAGCAATAGCAACTTTTCAGCTTGAAGTGATTGTTTTCAGTGATGTAATAGGATTTATCAGTCTCTCACATCATTGTGGGGAAATTTTGGCTCTTTTTTCTTTCCAGCATTGCTTCAGTTCACTGAGATTTATGGGCATCTGGTAACGTGCGGCTCTCTTAAGGTCTTGCCACACCATCCTAGTCAGGTTGAAATCTAGACTTTGAGTAGGTCGTTTCAACACCTTGATTCTTTTCTTTGTCAGCCACACTGTTTTAGATTAGCTGGTGTGATTGGGACCATTGTCCTGTAGCATGACCCCGTGTGGGCCGACAGATGGTCTCATATTTGACTCTAGAATACTTTTTGTTTGTCATGAACTTAAACATTTAACATGCTAACTAAAGGTTGTAGGGTGTGAGATGTAGCTTCGGAGTTTCTCTGAGTGTTGCACTGTCCGACCTTGGGTTGATTTTGGTGGGATGTATGGAAGACTTAAATGCTTTCCACTTTTAACACGATGGACATTAATGGGAAATTGTCTTAAAACTCCTCTCACATTGATAGGCAGCAGCAGTTACTTCTCAAAGATTTTTGCTGATGTCTTCTCTCTTTGGCTACTATTTCTTAATTCCTATGAAAGCAGTACTTAGTTTCCACACACTGTTTCTGCATTTTAGCCGAAACAGGGGTGGGCAGCACGGTGGCACGGTGGTTAGCACTGTTGCCGCACAGCAAGAAGGTCCTGAGTTCAATTCCAACATCAGGCTGGGGTCTTTCTGTGTGGAGTTTGCATGTTCTCCCCGTGTTTGCGTGGGTTCCCTCCGGGTACTCCGGCTTCCTCCCACCGTCCAAAGACATGCAGCTTGTGGGGATAGGTTAATTGGATAATCCAAATTGTCACTAGGTATGAATGTGAGTGCGAATGGTTGTCTGTCCCTGTGTGTTGGCCCTGCGACAGACTGGCGACCTGTCCAGGGTGTACCCCGCCTCTCGCCCTATGACAGCTGGGATAGGCTCCAGCGCCCCCCGCGACCCTGAAAAGGATAAGTGGAAGCGAATGGATGGAGGTTGCATTTAATGATTCTCGTGATACTTAACTTTAGAAGTCAAAAAGTGTGCACTTTCTTTTTCATGTGACTTTAATGGCACAGGTAAATGGCCTGGAAGTTTTACAGATATGTAAAAGATGCGGACCATTACTGCTGCTGTTCAAGGGAAAACAAAGCGAATTGCAGACATAGAATTAAAAATATGTTCTTCATGAGAAGATAACATCATTTCTAGTGTACGTCAACAAACATTACCAAATGGCAAACAAAGGATGTATGTGTCAAAATGTGTGAAGCATCAACCACACCAGGAAACCATGAATTCAGAGATGCAGAAATACATCTTCCTCAATAAACCACAGGTTCAAAATTTCAACCCTCCTCTTCAGTAATACTGTATGCACACCATTTCCTTTACCAAAAATGGTAACCCAACATCTTTAAGTCAGAGGATGTGCACACAGTTCTTCGCATTTCCAAGTTCTATTTACAGCCAACTGATCTTATAGTCATTCACTTTACTTAGTAAAACTTTATTCTCAAGTTCTTGGACAAGACATACCCTCTCTGCTTTTTACACGAGACATTTGACTCTGCAAAATGAGTTGTTTATTTTCCTGCATCTGTGAAGGTACTAAGTAAACATGTTTGCACAGTAGAAAGGATGTGTTCACTGACAAAAAGCCCCATATCTGCAGTCTTGACCATTCATGTGGGAACAAGTGAGTCATGGCATGCTGGCTGAGACACATCCTCTCCCAGCTTGATATTCACATCTCCCAAAATATCATCATTTCATGGTTCAGCATTCAAACAGCAGTACACATAGTTGGCATTCTCTAAAGATTAAAGATTAAAAAACAAGTTTTCCTTAAGTCATATCTGTGTTTTGGTGTTTTTCAGTGATGTCTCAAATTGTTATGAAATCAATGCGTGCATGAGAACTTTATGGGAAAAATACAAAAACATTTGACGCAGTGCTTCTTGCCAAATAGGACATGTTAGTGATTGCTAATGAATTGAGTCATTCTGGGGATAAAGCAATTGAAGATGTTGCACCAGCAGTTGTGCATGGCAATGATGAAGCAGGTAGTTCCCAAAAATCTGAACCGCAAAAAAGCAAAACCAAAAAAAGCATGTAAACTGCAAAGGAAGTAAATGTGAGTGTGTGCTGATTTCATTGTTACCATTTATGATGATACATACTAATGCTTAATGCAGCAAATAAAAGAAATCATTAGGTTACTGCCTTAACAAAGCAACCTTTTCTTTCCAAGTTTTCGATGCGATCCTGCGTCTGGCTTGACTTAGTTTGATGTTTCCTTTGGTTTCAAAACTTAACAAAAAGAGGAAACAAGTTGTATTTATGAAAAAAGTGGAAGCAGACATCTTTTTATATCAATAATTTGAGCAGAAATAACAGAAGTGTCTAGCTGAGTCCCATGATGACACGATGAGTGTGTTATGCTTTAAAAATACAAAAAAATTTTAAAAAACAACAACTTCACTGTTCAAATTTAACCTTTTGTTTATTTTTTTTTTTTAATGGTGTTAATCTCTTTTGTTATTTCCTGAATGTTTTTATGGTGTTTTTTGAATGGCTGAAAACACATAAAACTTTCAAAGTACTTCATCATTTCCTAATTTTTTTTGTGGGTATCTGGCATCATACATTATTTATTTATTTTTTTTAATCAAAACACAAAACAAGCATTGCTGTTTACCAAAATTGGTCTTATCAGCCATTGCCAGGTAGTCAGTCAGTAACACTCATTTCCAGTCTGACAAATCTACCCAAAACTACATTAGGTCAGTCACTCATTAGCTGTTATATGTAAAGCTAAAAGTGGATATTTGGAAAGTCCCCATGTTCGTTCAACTAATGCAGTTTGCCAAGATGTATGTAGGAGGGATGCGGTTTTTGTGTGGGAGGGGAATAAGGTCAGGTGACTAAGAGTTTTTTTGTTGTATAAATACAAGGATCCCTAACCCTTAACCAGGAGCACATCACAGCAAGAGCCTCCAGTCAAAACGAAGAAGGGAGCCAAAGCTGCAGCAAAATCCAACATCAGAGGAGAATCATTTTGACTTTTCTTTTAGTTTGTTTCTTTTGGTCTGAGTCCTTGCTGACTGCAAACTCTTAGTAAATATTTTCGTTATATTTTGCGCCAGCCTACAGTAGATCTCACCATGAGATGCTGTACTTTACTTGTGTGTTTACTTTTGGGCATAAGCACACAAAACGGATGGAGCCTTCCCTTGAAGTCCGTCTTTGTCACCTTTCCAGGAGACATTCCCAAAAACATGACTGATTCGGAGCTGGCAGAAGTAAGTATGAGGGCTATTTTATTCACACAGAATAAAATTGCATAAGTTGGATATTTAACCAAGCTACAGTGTAAATACAGATAAAGTTAATTTCTGCGGAAGGATTGTAACAGTAACACAGTAATGTTGGTTTGTCGTGTTCTCCTTCCAGAATTACCTAAAGAACTTCGGCTACATGAATTCTGTGGAACGCAGTGGCTTCCAGTCTATGGTGTCCACCGCCAAGGCTCTGAAGAGGATGCAGAGGCAGCTGGGGCTGGAGGAGAGCGGGGTGCTGGATAGAGAAACCCTGGATGCTATGAAAAAACCTCGCTGCGGAGTTCCTGATGTGGCCAACTATCAAACCTTTGCAGGAGACCTCAAGTGGGACCACAACGATGTTACTTATAGGTGAGCAAGAAAAAAAAAAGTCACTGAGTTCACTATGTTAGGGGCGGACTGTGCAACGAAGTTCTGACTGTGTGTGTTATTTTATCTCCTCCACAGGATCCTTAACTATTCCCCAGACATGGATAGCGCTATCATTGACGATGCTTTTGCCAGAGCGTTTAAGGTGTGGAGTGATGTGACCCCTCTGACTTTTACCCGTCTCTATGACGGCACGGCTGACATCATGATATCGTTTGGGAAAAAGGGTAATGTGCTTTACGATGGTCGTTTGATTTGTTTTACGCGCGCTGACGCAACATAGTTGCATAGAAAACCAAACACTAATGTGAAGTGCACGTTTCTATTCAGACCACGGAGACCCCTACCCATTTGATGGTAAGGATGGCCTTCTAGCCCATGCCTACCCCCCTGGTGAGGGTATTCAGGGAGACGCCCACTTCGACGATGATGAGTTCTGGACCTTGGGGAAAGGAGCAGGTAATCAGAAACACCGACAACAAGTATTTGTCTCCCCCTAGTGTTCACTTTAAATGTAATTAAATGTCCGGTCTCTTCTGTCTATATAGTTGTGAAGACTCACTTTGGAAATGCGAATGGCGCCACGTGCCACTTTCCCTTCAGTTTTGGGGGCAAATCTTACTCCACCTGCACCACAGAGGGCCGCACAGACAATCTGCCATGGTGTTCCACCACAGCTGACTATGACAAGGACAAGAAATATGGCTTCTGCCCAAGTGAACGTAAGCTTGACACTGTATTCTCCAAGGCAAATCACATGTCGCCGGTCACCCAGATAAGCGGATTTGCTTTTGTGACATGCTGACTTCAATTCTCTTTTCATCCTAACAGTTCTATACACTTTTGATGGAAATGCTGATGGAGCTCCATGCGTTTTCCCTTTCACCTTTCTGGGGGAGGAGTATGACAGCTGTACCACAGAGGGCCGCAGTGATGGTTACCGCTGGTGTGCCACCACAGGCAACTTTGACCAGGATAAGAAATATGGATTCTGTCCCAGTCGTGGTGAGGGAACACATAAACCACAACACATAAATGCAGTGCAGTGCTGCCACAGTGCCTTGTTATTTTGGTTTAACTGCTGCTGTTATGTCTCTGTTTATCCAGATATAGCTGTAATTGGTGGAAATTCTGAGGGAGATCCCTGCCACTTCCCCTTTGTGTTCCTGGGTAAGGAGTATCACTCGTGCACAAGTGAGGGACGAGGAGATGGCAAGCTGTGGTGCAGCACCACCGACAGCTATGATGATGACCAGAAATGGGGCTTCTGTCCTGACCAGGGTGAGCAAGAAACACAAGGCAGAAAAAAAAGAGGAGGTTAAAATGAATCATTAGTCATTAATAATGTTTAATATATTTGTTACAGGTTATAGTCTGTTCCTGGTGGCTGCCCACGAATTTGGACATGCTCTTGGCCTGGATCACTCCAACATTAGAGAAGCTCTCATGTACCCCATGTACAGCTATGCTGAACACTTCTCCTTGCATAGCGATGACATTAATGGCATTCAGTTTCTCTACGGTAAGCGTTTCTTCTTAGCATGCGGCATTAAAGTGTTAATGTACCTAACTTCGCAGCAATATCTCTCATGAAACTATATATTTTTTCAGGAAGTGGAACTGGCCCTGTGCCCACCCCACCTAACCCCAACCCCCCTACCGCTGAGCCCACTGATCCCACTGATACCACCACCACCACTACTGCAGTACCTGTGGATCCAACCAAAGATGCCTGCGAGCAGGACACATTTGACACCATCACTGTGATTCAAGGAGAACTACATTTCTTCAAGGATGGGTGAGCAGCTTACTCATCCTACTTTATCGCATTCTTCTTTTCCAAACAAGTAAAAAGAAGATTTCCAAGCACATGAAATGTTAAATTTTGTGTGTCAATTTTATAGACATTACTGGAAGATGTCCGGGAGCAGCAATGCAGGGCCCTTTTCTATTTCTAACAAGTGGCCCGCTCTTCCAGCTGTCATCGACTCTGCCTTTGAGGACAGTCTGACCAAGAAATTGTACTTCTTCTCAGGTAATGAACCCCGTGCAATGTTTAACAGCCTGTATTAGCCAACAGTGCAGACGGTCTAATAATGATCATTTTGTTGTTTACAGGGAACAGATTCTGGGTTTACACAGGACAGAATGTTCTGGGTCCCCGCAGCATTGAGAAACTAGGCCTGCCCAACAACATTCAGAAAGTGGAGGGAGCTCTGCAGAGGGGGAAAGGCAAAGTTCTGCTCTTCAGTGGGGAGAACTTCTGGAGGTAGGTTAAAACTCAGCCTTTACAGTCCTGAATTTAAGAGAAAACTGCTACTTTTTTGCCATTTTAATGACATTTTCTTTCTTTGTTTTGTTTGATCTAAACAGGCTGGATGTAAAGGCCCAGACAGTCGACAAGGGCTATCCAAAGTTTACTGATGTTGTCTTTGGTGGTATCCCCAATGATGCTCATGATGTATTCCAGTACCAAGGTAAATAAACTACAAAATGTAAATTTTCTCTTAAGTTTAAGGGGGGAAAAAACCCAAAACATCAGAAAAAACAGCAGTAAAGCACTTTAGGCTGTTTGCTTTAATTTATATTAACTTCATTATTTTCCTTATAGGTCACACTTACTTCTGCCGGGATCGCTTCTACTGGCGTATGAATTCCCGCAGGCAGGTGGACCGTGTTGGCTATGTCAAATATGACCTGCTCAAGTGCTCATCAGACACCCGCTACTGAATACACACATACTGAGCTGGGAATTGTAATGTGGTGGTACCCATTTCTCTTCTCATTCTGGCAGAATGTGACACAGTGTTTTTGTGTAGCACCTGCTGTGCTGATTTACGTGCTTTCTGGGATGTGAATAATTGTCTTTCAGTCATACTGGTTATAAAACATGTAGCGCCGGCCTAAAAATGTGCCAAAGTCCCAGTACACTAGAGCAAAATGCAATGTTTGGCACTGCCTTCCCTCATTCTGATTGTCTGTGAACTGATGGTTATGGTGGCCTATAACAGAAACTTAATTATTCTTAACAGCGCTCTGGCTCAGACCCCGGAGCTGCAAAATAATTACCATGTCTGACAGGCTCAGACTATTAACAGTATTAGATTATTTTGATATTTATAGCAATATCTAACATTAATATTATTTTTGTCTCAAACTTATTTGTTTTGTACGATTATTGTGTGTGTTTTTCTGAAAATGGCTTCAGAGCCAATTACTTGCACTGGAAGACAAGGTATGTCTCCTACACATAAATTATTTAAGAGGTTTAATACATTTTGTAGGGATGCACCAAATATTTTCTTTACTGATACTGATATGATCAAAATTTGAAGTTTGCCAATAGCCGATGTTTTTGTTTTGATTGTTTTGGTTTATTATTTATTCACCCTTTGTGCAAAGAAAACAAAGAACTGCCATTGTTAAAAATAATAGTTCATTACTTTATCTTTGAATATTAATCTGTTTAACCATCAAAATTGATGCGATACAAGAGATATCATGAACTAGTATCAGTGATTGCCATCTTGTTTGTGATAGGCCAGTGGAAGTCAATGAGGCTGATATCAATCGATATGAATATGTTGATGTATCCCTAAATGTTTCTATCAAAGTCTTGCCTATCAATGCAATAAACTTTCTGTGAAAACAATTTAACCCTGTGAGCAGTATTAATCATTCACTAAACACACTGAAATGCTTTGAAGACAATTCAAGACAGCTAAAACATACACAGTGAAAAGTGTACACACTTGTGTTAAAATGCCAGAAAAAATAAGAGCACAATAAATCATTTCAAAACCTTTCTTACCTTTAATGCGACATATAAACCAAACAATTCAAATTAAAGAACAAACAAATATGTTACAGGAAAAAATATTTTTTTAAAAAACTAAACAATACAATAAGCTTATTGCATAAGTGTAGACACCCTTCAAGTAGTGCTTGGTTGAAGCGTCTTGAGTAAGCACGCCCCCCCATCAATTGAAGAGATTCTGATTAACCCCAATTAAAGTTCAGCTGCCCTGGGAGGATTTTCTTGGCATTTACTCAGTTGTAAGCAAAGTCATGTTTTGTAAAGAGCTTACAAAGCATCAAAGGGATCTCACTGGTGAAAAGTATCAGTTACTACAAAAATAAAAATACAAAAATTAGGCCGGAGAAAATATGGGATAACATTGACATTGCAAAGAACTGAATGACCCCCCCTAAAAATGAATTCAAAGATGAAAACTGGTCAGGGAGAATTTCAAGAGACCAATAGTAACACCGAAGACGCTGCAGAAGTAGAAGTATTGACAGAAGTGGTCAATACTTGGTTTGGAGCATATCTGATTTATATGAAATTTTCCTACAAGCAGCAAAAATTGAATGCAGTATGTTAGGTTTTTAATTATCATTTCCTCAGTTTTTGTCCAATATATTGCTGTACATCATTCCAAAACATTCTGACACACACACACACACACACACACACACAACAAGAATAATTAATATCAAGGGTCAGTGTTTGTCCTTTATAGGAATATTGCTTTTAGTGACACTGCCATCACCAATCAGTATTGGTAATTTATTCAATTTGACTGGTTGGAGAGACATTATGCTTGCATACAAGATTCCACACTAGAAGAGCTTGTTTATGAAAACTAGAACATTTCACAGGTAGCTTCTCTGTTTTATAATCACATTTAAGCAAAAATGTAACCCCACCCATCAAACATGGTAAAACATGTTTTAGAAATGTGTTCCAAAACATATCTTTGACACTGAGTAAGTTGGTTAACCATTTCGCTTTAAATGAATTAGTTTGCATTTTGAAACTTAAAGGTTTAGTGTGCACGCATATTACTCCGCACCCAATTACGTAATACGTCTTCCTCTTAAAAACAATAGTCCACTCAATGAGTAAAAACATTGTAATATCTCACGAATATTTGCAACAACCAAAAACGATCAAGTAATTATTAGAAATAAAATGTTGAAGTTAATAAAAAAATATTAAGACTGGTTAAAACAAAAAGCTCCGTTTTCAATAAAAACAATAAATAAGATCCGGTTGCACGGACAGGAAGCGAGGAGATACTCATGGTGCCCGACTAGAATGAAGCAACAATTATCGGTTAGTAACTTCTGTTCGAATTAGCGCCTCCACACCAAAGGACACCCTACTACTCGAAAATATACGGTAAGGAAAAAGAGCTGCGATTCTCCTACCGAAGATGGAAATTGTTTTTATTTTCTTCAGGGAGAGAATTTGGGCGGTCTGCCGCAGCGGAGGCCCTCGAGGTCCCCAGTAGAGCTTTCAGAATGCCTGAATGGAAAAGTGGGTTAGTTGGTATAAAATGGCGACGCGGAGCAGGCAGGATGAAGGGCAGCTAGGCCCGTTTAAAAAGGCTAACGCATGCTATTTTGCACCACGTAACACCCGATATGGCGACTTAGCAGCAGCATTTAGGTTATAACTGTACTGTGCTGCTCAAACACAAGTTATATGATTGTAAGTGTCGGTTGTTAGCCCCACAAAAGCCCGACGTTAAGCGAACAGCAGTGCTGGTTAGCTATATGGAAGCTAACCAGTTAGCTGTTTTGGTCGTGAGCAAGTTTATAAAAAACTTTGTTCCTGGGTCTTCAACAAATTATGATAGTGTGAAAATCACAAGAGTTTCTTTCCCTGAATCAAGATACCCATGAGATTTACTAAAAATTAAGAATAGTGCCCCCGAGTCAAAAGATACGATGTTAACAGAAGCAAAAGGCTTTGGGGTAAATGCTCAGAAACAAACTCACTTGCACGTAATCCCTTTAAGTTAAACTGTGTAACAATATCAAGCACTGCAGTGGTTGCGGGGCGGAAAACTGCTACAGCACACATTATATGAAAATAGTCTGCTATAACAAATGAAGTCATATTTAACTCTAACTAGTAAAGAAGTATAAAGTTTATGAAAACTGACAATCTATCGGAACTACACCTAAGTAAACTATTAATAATGTGCACTGCTCAGTTTGGTCTTTCCAACTAAATGCAAACTATAGAGAGTTCAATCTGACCTTGGAAACAGAGAAGTGACCACAAAGCCTTCAGAGGTCATTTAGAGTTGGCTCTGTTTGTTGACAGGAGTTAGGCAGTATACAAGTTATGATCCACTGCAACAGCCTTATTCAGCAAATACACTCTTACTTAAATACAGTTGATAAAGTTGGACAAATTTTTTCAGCCCCTAATGTCCGCAGGTCTTACTGGTTTTAAAGTTATGAAATACGTTGCTGTTTAACTCCATATAACATAGCTTAGAGTGTCTAAATTTTAAAATAAATAGTGAGCTTCCCTCCTACTTAAACTATGTGCAAGTTGCATATATCTATATATACAGCACTTGTATGCATATTCAAGGTATGTTTAAGAGATGACACCTTAGATTTACAGTAGAGTAGTATAGTAGTGTAGATCTATTTTGTTTGGAAAATAGAAATAGGTGGAGTGGTTTGGTTAATTTTTTTTGTTTCATTCTTGTGGATAGTTATGGATTTGGAGGAGAATGAGGTGGAGAGCAGCAGTGATGCAGGTCCCTCAGGGATGGAGGAGCCATCTGAAAGTGGCATGGGAATGGAGTCATCAGAGGCGATGTCTGCAGACAGCAGTGATGCTGCTGCTCCTCATGCACAGGCCCCAGAGTCTGACTGCCATGTTGGACAGAGCTCGGAGGGACTTGTGGTAAGTTAAAAATACAGTGTGGTTAAACAAAACAAAACAAAATAAAACAAAAAAACAACAGCGATGAATGTAGCTTTTTAATCTGTAAGTTTCCAGTAAGTCATCCTTTCTTTCCCTCACTCTTAAGGTGTTCATCCCAGAAACAAGCTCTAGCACAGATGTCAGAGTCTCATCAGTCCATCTTCCAGACTCCTCTTCAGTGGCCCAGTCCACCAGTGTGTCCAGTGTCTCCACGGTGACTCAGTCGGTGCTTGTGTCTGAGTCAGCTCAAGTGCTGGTCCACTCGAGTGCTGTCTCTGAAGGGGCTATGATGGTTTCTGACTCAACTGCTTCTACCTCATCAGATCTGGGGTCTGCCATTGACAAGATCATAGAATCCACCATCGGCCCCGATATCATGAATGGTATATGTTTTTAACGACTCTTCGTTTTCCATCATGTCCTGACAAGAGAACGATGAACTTGTCTTAAATTGAAAACTTTATGACATGAGATTTTATATCTTTTTCTTTTAGGTTGTATAGCTGTGACCAGTGCAGAAGATGGGGGTGCAGAAACAACCCAGTATCTAATACTACAAGGTCCAGATGACGGTAAGTGGGGTGTTCCTGCTAACTTATCACCTTTCAATTGGCCAGAATAATTTAAAATAATAATTCTGATAAATTACTCTTATATGTTTTATATTTGTTTACGGTGCTTGTAAATGTCATGTATGTATGAATTTAATGCTTTAATTTTATCTTTATCCACTAGAAAAATAATTTTTACATTAGAAATGTTTATATTTTAAAGCAATATACATTTATATTGTTATACTTAAAATCTATTTAGGCTGATGACAACAAAGTTAAACAAAGTTCAGGAATTTTTTTTTAATTATTTCCTTGTTTATTGGTGCAGGTGCTCCTATGGTAGCTCAGATGTCATCTTCTGCCCTGTCCAATCGTATAGCAATAGAAGCTCTCGCCGAAGGTCCCACATCCACCTGTCTTGACCAGAGAGACCTGCAAGGCAACGTTGAGCCTGACCAGCCCGATGATCAGCCTGGACATTCAGGTTACTTAGAAGACAGCAGCAGCCAGCCTGACCAGCCACAGCACTCCCACCCCTCCCAGTACATGGACTGCAGTGCAGATGGTCCAGACCAGACAGAGGAATCTTCCTCTTCCTATGTGGAGTGTTCAGGTGAGGAACCTGACCAGACACGCTCCCGTTCAGGCTTCCCTGACTATAGTGGGAATAACAGTGACCAGGATCTGCCTGGTTATGTGGGGTGCAGTGGAGCTGACTCAAATCCTACCAGCCGAAGTCACTATGTGGTGGAGTGCAGTGCTGGGTATCCTGGGCGTGCAGCGGATGAGGGGGAGCGGCCACATCATTCACGCAGTTACATTGACAGTAGTGCAGACCACCGGACTCAGACAAGTCGTCAGTATGCGGCTGAGTATGGTGGGGAATGTGTTGTAGCTGCAGATTCTGAGCAGCCAGGTTGTTCTCGTTACCAAGCGGAGGACGATGATGAAGATGATGATCAGAACCAGGATCCAGATCAGCCACAGCACTCTCAACAGCAGCCCCAGCACTCCTGTTATATGGAGAGCAGCAATGGCCCAGAGGCTTCTCTCTATACTGACGACAGTTCCTCTTCAGACCATCCTCTGGCAGACACGGCAGGTTCAGGTGGACTTCCAGAGGCACTGGAAGGCAGCGAGAGCCAGCCGGGCCCATTCATCAGCAGCAGTGGGACCTATACCTCTAATGCAGAACCTGAGCTGGCCCAGCACTGCTCACCCAGCAAAGAGGAGCCCCAAGGCTCTCAGGATGAAGCTGGGCTCGGCAGGGACATGGAGACATCAACTGTAGCAGAAGGCTCTGGAGAACGACCGCCAAACCTGGCTGAGTTAGAGGAAATGATGGAGGTAGTGATCGTGCAGCAGTTCAAGTGTAAAATGTGTCCATACAAGAGTGCCTCCAAAGATACTCTTATCAACCACATGAGAGACAAACACTTCAAACCTGCAGGTAAGCTAGCAGAATAATAGCCATGACATTGTTATCTCACCAAGCTTGGTAGTATATAGATAGATAGATAGATAAAGTGTCTTTTCTTTTTTTTTCTTTTTTTACAATTTTAGGGGAAATGCCAAAGAAGCGTAAACGTGGACGACCTCCTAAAAGTGAGACCTTAGCCCGTCAAAAGGCAGAGAGGGAGGAGGCAGCAAAGATGAAGGCCGCAGAGTCCCAGCAAGCAGCAGAAGAAGAGGAGGATGACATTGTGGATGATGGTGCTATTGATGATCCTGAAAGTTAGTGAAAAAGACATAGATGTAATATGCAAATTTCTGTCTTTGAATAGATTATAACATTAATACTTTTCTTGTTAATGAGCATTTACTCAATCACATAGCTCTCACTGTCATTTCCACTTATCCCTCACACTGATTAAAAATAATCTGTCTCCAGAGGACAGCGACTACAACCCAGCTGATGAAGATTCCAAAGGAAGACCACCTGCCATTCTGAAAAAGTCAGCAACTCCCACTTCCTCTTCCTCTTCTCCTCAAGGGCGTCCCCGACGTAAAGCTGGCCGTCCAAGGAAGTACTCAGTTGTAGATGAAGGCTACAGCAGCAAAGGTGAGTTTTCAGCCTATCACTGCGAGCCTAGAGAGCCTACATGCAAAACTTTAGGCAAATATATTCTCCTTTTTCCACTTTTGTTGCAGAAGCAGAAAGTATTGCTAAGAAGCCTAGGGTTTGTTCGGATGCTAATGAGTCTGAAGAGGCAAGCTCTTCAGGCCTAGACAATAGTGCACCCACGGTGACTGATGGAGATGCACCTGAGGCAGCAATTAGCCAGTCAGACTCTGAGAACAAAGATCCTTCATCCAACCAACGGACGGAGGTCGAGTACTTCCCAAGAAAACGTGGCAGACCATCCCGGCGCTTCCTTCGCAAGAAATATAAGAAGTATATGAATCGGAAGTAAGTCTTTTTAACATTTTATTATAAATTCCATTAAAATATTTTAGAATGCACTAATTTCTTCTTTCTCTTTGTTATCTGCCAGTCGGCACTATAAATCTCTCAAACCACTCCTGAGACCTCACAACTGCTACATCTGTGGGTCACGTTTCCTCACTCTAGAAGACCTGCGCTTCCACATCGACTCACATGAAGGCAATGATCCGGAGCTCTTCAAGTGCCTGCAGTGCAACTATCGCTGCAAGCGCTGGTCCTCGCTCAAGGTCAGCTGCAATAAAACAGATCACAACACACTCAAGTTAACCTCAGTTTATTTGCATGTTTCCACAGTTTCCTAAAACACTTTTTTTTTACAGGAGCACATGTTCAACCACGAGGGCACTAAGCCATTCAAATGTGAGGAGTGCGATTACACAAGCGTGTACAAGAAAGATGTCATTCGGCATTCGGCAGTCCACAACAAAGAGCGGTATGAACGTCGCAACTGTGGTCAAACTCAGTTATTCCTGAAAAAGAACATGTTCATAAAGTCTTCTGTTGATGATATAACTGATTATTTCTCTTTCCTCTTGCAGGAAAAGGAAGACAGAGTCGGTAAGAATTTATATTTGAATGCCATCTACAATACTTATTGGCTTATATGTGGTTTAAGAATAATTCTACAAAATAATCTGACACAATTTCAGTTTCTGTTGTTGCTGGTTGCTACTTACTGTAAGAGGCCGGCATTGTGATTTTTAGTGTGATTATTGCAGGTGCCGAAGGCGTCGGAGTTCCCCTGCCCTGTGTGTCACAGGGTGTATCCCATGCAAAAGAGACTTACTCAGCACTTAAAAACCCACAGCTCAGAGAAACCACACATGTGCGATAAGGTCAGAAAGAGGATTATGCAGTTTAAGAACTATTCTTTTCATATTCTTATCATTTTAAATTAAATATGGCAACACAAACGAACAAAAAACAGGGTAATCTCACTATCTCACAGAGGTGTGTCACCAGTACTAATGAATATTCTCTCCTGCTTTCTTCTTCCACTAGGAAGTTCGCTTACTTTCTTGTTTAAGATGCCTTTCTGTCTTTGCAGTGTGGAAAATCCTTCAAGAAGCGTTACACTTTCAAAATGCACCTCCTAACCCACATCCAGAGTCTTGACGACAACAAGTCAGTACTCAGACTTCTATTCCTCCTCTTTTACTCTGTCATCTACCAGTCAGTTTTCTTTTAACCCTTTAAAACCAGTCAGAGCGGGCACGCTCCGTTTTGTGCAACTACTTTTAAATCCC